GCATTTCACAGCAGAAGTGCTGAAGTATAGGGAAATGTGTAACATAAGCTGTTTAAAGAGCAATATTCATATGAGTTGGGGCAGGAGAAGGTGGCGATGGGCACTGATTGTTCTGATTGGAGTCGCATAGAGAACCCTCACCAGAGAGAGTGCGAAAACAGGAACAGCATCACGTTAAAGTGATTTGATTCCTGGACTGTAAGTGGTGCTACAGAACACCGGACTACTTAAGTGGCATAGAAGTCTCTGTCCTTCAGTCTCTGTCCTGCTTAGGCCGGAAAGAGATAAATCGGCTCCTTCATGGGAGCTGGGTCTGTTCTATTGTCGTATTAATGAAAGGTTCAACATACTTCACGGACGATGTACATAGCTGTAGCCGGAGCGATCCATTCTCTTGCGTGTATGCCACCGTCAATCCACATTGATATCTTCTTACCCGATCACTGATTTATGGCCAGAAATCTGAAGAACAAACTTCACTCGCATCGAATAATTTGCTACAGTGTTTGGATGCTATTAGGGTGCAAGATTATCAGGTCGGTATGCCGAATTTCACGGTGACACTGGACACAATGACGCCACAAAATCAAAATGGGACTAGAGACTCCATACGGCTAAGCGTTAGGGTGCCTACGGGCCCCGAGGTGTGTAACTTCTCCCTGTGTCTTCGAAAAAAACGTAGAGTTAGGCGTCATTAGGAACATTGACGCCTACCGTTTTCCGAATTCGATGCACCCCCTCCTGGTCTTGCACCAAATATTCTCAAGAAAAAAAAGCATGCACACGCGCACTGAGCACTTGCTTCGTCTTTTCAGAGCCTTTCAGTCCATCATCACTCACCTTAATCACTAAAAGTGATCGATTTTCATGTGTTTCTCCTATGTCGATTAATGATATCATATCTGGTTTCTCTTTCCTCAGCCTGATCATTTCGTCTTGAATGTCTTCAAGAGAGTTGTACTTGTCGTACGAGTAGCCACCGGCTTCTGGATGGTAGAAGGCAGGTGGCGACTTCTCGTTTTCTATCGCTCTGCAAATAGTGAAAATTACTATTTAGCCTAAGAAATTAGTTGAAAATTTACTATTTAGCTCAAACCCCATGCGAGAGCGAAAGGGACTAATGCTCGTGCAAAGACTCCGCCTCAACGCGCATGGGCCCGATGTCGAAATCGTACGGAATCGTACATGAATCAGCAAGGTTTCATTTGTTTAGATTTGACCGCCTGCCGCAAAAAAAACTTGTCTAGAACCATGAAAACACTGGGCTGTACATCGACCTGCCTTCAAAAGTCACAGATCAACCCACTCAATGTGAAGACCATTACTAGAGAAGTGGAATGCGTGGCGCATCGGACTGACCACCAGCGAATGCTTGAAGGCCTAATATTTCTAGCTGGCAAGGCGGATTATAGCAGTAGTTTCGATTTGGGGGCGGAAGTGGTAGTGACAAGTGGCGCGCTTACCACGCGAGCGGTCCGGGATCAAATCCTGGGTCGTGAGTCGCCCGGGCCAACCAAGCCTTCCATCCCTCCGGGGTCGGTTAATTGGTACCAGACTTGTCTGGGAGGATAAAAACACTGACTTGAACATCGGCTGGCCCCCGCAAGTCATTGTATAGGCCACATCGCATTCAAACGCCACTACGAATGTACAAATGGAAATAGGATGCGCACGTGCCACACCAAATGGATTGGTCAACGGCAAATGCTTTATCCTTTGATTGATTTATTTGGGCTTATGAAATACCTTTGTAATCATCGCTAAACGCATAAGGACATTTTTTCAATCGGTCTGCAGCTTTCCTGAATGGCCCTACGCCAAGATGGCCAACTAAGTCTCTATTCCCTGTGGAGTCTACGACTATCAGTGGTGGATGTCCAGACTGAAATGACAGCACTAGTCGTCAATGGCGGGCATCTTCGCCTTTTGATGCCACAAGTTAAAGTTGAAGTCGTTCATTGCGTGATGCGTTCCAAAAGGAAAACGTAAGCTCAGCTCTATTCGGCCCTCCACAGTTTCCTACTATTGGTCGTTTCTAGAACGTATTAAAGATTTTAGGGCGTCTCTTGGGCAATAGGGCTTACCAATTATCACGAGCACAATCCGAAAATGGAATACCCCATCAAATCCAGCCCAGCTCAACCAAGCCATCCATCCCATCATGGTCCGCTAGTTGGTACCACCTTAGAGAGAGAAACACAGAGTTTCATTATTAGGCCAATTACTTTGCCAGTATCGTTGGCCCTGCTCATTCAAATTTCCACTAGGATCCGAGATGAAATAAGGAGAGTGTTGGCACATTTGTGAAGAGGAGTTGACTAGAAGCGATTCTTTTCAGCTCTTATGCTTGGACAAAGCTAAAACAACAGTAGGAAAAGTACAACATTCACCTTTCTAAATCGTTCACAGCTACCACGTAATGGAGTTGTTTTGATTCCAAATCACGCACGAAAATTGGAGCATCTGACGGCGCCACAGTCACATCAACGACTGCGCCTTAATAAATAGGTATTTAAAATGGTTGTGGTTACAAAGTGTGGTTTGTTTAGTGCGCTTGGAGAACCCGCAACCTTTCCCCACAGGGAAAAAGAACTGACGAAGTCTTCCTCTGTCGGTATCATCTTTTAGTTTGAAGACATTTGAGCCACTCTGTAGCAACTCTGTCTTGTTGACCGTCTAGAAGTATTTACAGAGTGCTCTCGCAAAGCAATCTTCGGTACTAGGCTGCTTCAAAATTTCGTTCGGAATTGGCTACAGCATGAAATAGCCAATTAATTTATCACACAATGGTGTTATGATGAGGAAGAAGTTCTGAGATTGGCTCAGGACTTGGAGAATTGCAGTATTTGAAGCATGGTAAGTCGAGATCGTAGCTAATATACTCCTGCGCTCGCCGAGTGAGCGACAATAATTAGTTCGATGTGAAGGGCAACGCCAGTAATGAAGAAGTGGGGAGAAATCATCGACAAAGGACGAAAATGAAGCCTCCGTTTCGGGTGGCGGCGAACTACATAGCACTGATTTGTGGGCGGGATCAATGGTATTGGGCGGGGCAAAATGCTGCGATCTGCTACTTTTAGCCCTCGGCCGCCTTCTCAACTTCATTCCGAAAGCTGTTGTACATCTGTTTGAGTCCGTAGCTCTTTGAAGTAGCCAATTTTGACCAGAAACCGGGCCTGCCTCCAAAGTGTTTTAAACCCAGCAAACAATGTCTTAATCAGCTACATATGGATTCCGAACTCCTCCGCCATCAACCGAGCAGTAGACCGATCCCCCTTCCCCCAAGAATCGGTGGAGCTCTTAAACTTCGTCAGCATCTTTTCAAACAGTTTTAACACCTCTGAGACACACTCGTGTAAGGAGCAAGAGGGAGATGGGACGGACCCAAAAATACCGTTCCACACCTTAATCAATTGCAACAGTGGTTGTTTTCAAGGTTGGATGAGTGAAGGGATATTTCATAATAATATTTTTTTATAAAGAAATATCGGTTGATGCAACAAAAGAAAAAGCTCGTGCTACATTTTCAGTGGAGAACTGATGCTTACCTATATGAGTTGGAGGCTGCCAAAAATCGAGCTCATACGGTGAAGAACCTTCGTATAGCGTATTCAGGTAATGAAGTGAATCGTCACTATCCGGATAGATCCGAATTAATTTGTAGCTGAAATAAGATTTCATATCGGGAGAAAATTTAACAATGACATTCTTCGTAACTAAACCGTACCAGAACTCTACTAAGTTGCTGTTGTTTCTAGTGGTTAACTGATAATCTCAATTATTTATTTATTTATTAACTTGATCAATATTTGGGAGATTCTTATTTACTTTTATTCTTTTTTTGTGCAGAAACAAATTGTGTATGGTGAATATTCAAAATTTTGTTGCGAAAAAACTGGAACAAGTTTGCTAGAGTTATTCAAGCCGATTTCGGCATTTCTATGTACTCTTCCTGATCCTCTCAGAAGAACTCGAGGGCGGCGCCACGATACATTAGGTGTGAGATCGGGATCGTGGTACCGTCACTGTCCACTTACGAGTACCGTCTGGGGCACTCAAAGAGAAAAAGCCTATCGTAATATCTGTGGATCTGAATTACCAGACTTGCGTACGGAAGGTATAGAAATGTGCAAGGAAGATTTATGTCGACAGTGGTTCGGGAAGTCTTGCCGAAGCGACTCCTTCTTGTAACCCCCCATACCTCCGCACCACCCTCTGACTGCAATTTAGCTGAAACGCAAACCGAGAGGTTCTGACGACAGCGCGTTCCCCAATACCCTTCAATTGCAATGGACCTTCGGTATTCCCACAGCAGCACGAGTTATCGCCCCTCGGATCATGAGGGAACAGAACAAGTTGCGACGATTGAATAAGCACGAGTTGGGTAAGCTTGTTCGGATGACATCATATGAAAATCTGCCAGGCTGCTTCTTGTAAAGTTTCGGTTTGTTTTGAAACTTAACAGGGTATTGGGCTTGAGAAGTGCGCAAGTGGCTGTTATGCAGAATAAGGAGGCATATCGGGACATGCGCTTAGCTAGCAACAACGAGAGTACCCACACCGGGTAGTTTCAGAACTTGAATCCATCTACTAAGGTTTAGAGCTTTGCTTTTCTATCAGAGTAGCTAGTTTTTCTTTCTTTGCAATTAGTCGATGATGAGTTTGTCGTGATTTGTCGTGAATAGTTCAACACCCATGCACTTAAGCTATACGCAATCTGTTGACCAACTGTGGCCGAAAAATCGACCGTGCTGTCGCTTTTATTTGAGCCCGTAGCGCTCGCTTACTGACCACTACGAGACGAAAACACTCAACGACAGTTCCGAACAGCACTCAAGCTGCTTCCGTGGAAGAGTCGCCTGGTCTCTTTGACGCACCGAAGGATGTTCTCTCTATTGGTTAATGGTAATAGGGCGCTTTGCCTAAAACAGTGCAGGTACGCGCTAACAAGGGGGTTCCACTGGAAAACCCGAAGCAAGGATAAATTGGGCTGAAATACTCAGGAAACCCGAAGCAAGGATAAATTAGTTTGAAATACTTGAAGTTAGCGGAGTCAAAGCTGTTGAGCATAATAGGGGAGCGAGCGATCAATATTAGAGCGCAAATAAAACGATATCAATTATTATATCCAAACGAAGCTCAAAAGGTTCTAGGTGCCGATATGTTCACAAAAACAACAAAAACAAGTTCCTAAGCCGATGGTTTTTTCAGCTGTTCCGCGTATTTCTTAATATGCCTGGAAACTATGCAGCAGAGGATAGGCCGTTAGATATTATCCCGTTTCAATAAAGGATTTGGACAACGGCTCTAACCATGAAGGAAACATTCACCTCTACCGTTTAGGGCCACTCCCAATTCCTTAGTGACAAATTTTGGGGGGTATTTCCACATAATTTGTCTTGGACTTTTCTTTTTCTTCTGTCTTGGAGCATTTCTGATAAGTTTTAAGGTAATTTGGACTTTATACATGCAAAATTTTTAGACATAAAAAAGAGCATTTCGCTACCGTTCCAATAAAACCTTACCTTTGGAGAATGGAATTCCAGCAGACAAAGGAGAATTACCTTAGCGGGATGGCCTACCCTCTCGCTCAGGTTTAGCAAGCCTTTCAGCCTACCAGGGTTTCCTACCCAATGGTTCACGCAGGGTGTATAGGAGTTCAGACATTGGTAATGTGTACGATAGGGTTAATATGGCCTGATCCCTCATACTATTGCCAATGTTAGCTGGAACTAGCGGGAAGCGCAATTGCCAGACGGGATTCAAACATGAGGCGCAAGTGGATAGGAAGCACTTGAAAGCGCTACTGTGCTGAACGCTTTTATAGGTATGGTACAGTTACCATTATGTTCTACAACCTCTCATTTACTCTACCCACCTCGCGAAAGCAAAAAAATTCTGCAGCCTAAATAAAACTCACTTTTTATAGCTTATGACGAGGGCCGTCTAAGGAGGCTGTAAGGAGATGTGCATAAGGAATGAACGAAGGGAAAGAATAAAAAAGGACTGCCAGTAATCGCAGCGCCATTCAAAATCACTTCTGGCACTTTCTGCTCGGCAATTGCCGCTCTCAATCAGTTCAAATAACAGTCAACTCTGAAAAACAGTCAAAATCTGGTGAGATGCTAGAGCCAAACAAAAAAAAAAACAGCGAGAAAAATCCGAGAAATCGGCTCTCTACTACGCATAGTGGGAAATGAGAGAAGATGATGATAAGCATGAAATGGAGCTTGGCAGGAGGCCAAGGTCAACAAGTAGCTTTTCTATGTATGCTTTTTCAATTTGTAGGGTTGTTGTGGAAACACCATGATTGAGTATCAAGGATTTTTACCAGGATTTTAGTCTCGTAGTTATTTCTGAAATCAGCTAATTTCAATTGTTACTTAAGAACCACTAAAATTGGCCTTCCATTCTGCAGCTGCCGAGATTGGTCAGACGAGCTGGTCAAAAAAGTGGCCCACTAGAGTAGAACTTTGGCCTAAAACATGTCTAAATACAGTAGCGGACTTTCTATTTAATGTTTGCTCTGGAGTCATGGACCTATAGGCATTATAAGAAGAAAAAGGCCTTCTGGCACTCCAGGTTTTTTTAATTACGCTGGAAACGCTCGCAGCTTTGAAGAGCTACGGGTCTAGATTGTCTTTCCAATGGAAATTGGAAAAGAGAGCACGTAAAGTAATCTATTTTTGAAGTCAATCAATATTACTTTGATTTTGCTGCAATCGAAGAAAAGCACAGAAATCAAGGAGGTGAGACCAGCTGAGAAAAGCTGTAAAGGCGATTCGTCTCAATCGGAAAGGCGGCGCGTCTTTGTAGAGCGATGACGGGCGTGCACGAGATGTCAAACCTCACCTCCATCATCGTATTCCTTTTCGTTTCAAAAAAAAAGCGCTGACGCGAATTATCGGAAGGCATACAACCATTGGACCCAATGAACTTGCTACGAGCTTAACAACTTAGGTTCACCCATGCATTTCTGACCCGCGCGCAAAGACCAGTGGAGCCTCATAACAAAAACCCTTCTTCTGTTAAAGCGATGATGCTCGAGGGTTAAAAGTTGAGAGAACGGAAATAAACAAGGCTTAATCCTTTTTCTTCAGGTCACAGTCGAATATTTGCGATTACTTATTTTTGGACTTATTAGTATAGAAATAAGGCGGCTTGAGGGTAAAACGAATATCATTCAACACTCAGAACACAACTCTCACAATACTTCAACACTCTCGATCACTGAAGTGCAACTATTTCCTGCGAAAAACTTCGAAAGGTTGAGAGTGAGAAAAATGAGAACGAGTGGCATCGATATATTGCAACAGCTTCGTATTATTCTGCTTCTCATTGTTTGGCATTGGCCCCACCTGGTGGAGTAGTGCGTTTTTCTGGACGTTTACGCCACTTTTCCCGATTGCGTCCATGATCAGGATGAAGGTTAACTGCTTTTGAACCTAATGCAACGTATTGAGCAATCGTTGTTTCGGTCGTCCTCTTAGCCGCTTTCCTGGTACGTGAAACTCTTGACCATTCTTACGAGGCGCTGCGTCATATAGCTCAAATGTCGTAGGACGTTACAGTACTATCTCTGGCCACCTTGGGCATCTCATCAGACCGATAGAGAAGTCCATACCGAACGCTCGCTTGGATCGGTATCGTCAACAAATTTTGGTCAAGGGCCATCGATGCTGGGCTGTGCACGCACATTTGGTCTCCATCTAGCTGAACGCCAACACAAGCTTACAAGGGAAGGATGGTAGGTCGAAGTGGCCGTTCGAAATGAAATGTATACCTCCTGATGCGTCTCCAGACGCTGATTCCAAATCTGCCTTCCAAATCTGCTAAACGACTCTCCGAACGGAGTTATGAAGCGTAATAGCTCAGTGGTGATGGTCGGGGTGGCAGGTAAAAGCTCGTAGGATCGGTTCCTTTGCAAATTGGTTGCTTTGCTTTTGTCTTTTTTTTCTCTAGAAGTGTTGCGGACAAAAGCAAAGCAACAAACTTGCAAAGGAACCGATCCTACGAGCTTTTACCTGCCACCCCGGACCATCACCACTGAGCTATTACGCTTCATAACTCCGTTCGGAGAGCCGTTTAGCAGATTTGGAAGGCAGATTTGGAATCAGCGTCTGGAGACGCATCAGGAGGTATACATTTCATTTCGAACGGCCACTTCGACCTACCATCCTTCCCTTGTAGAGAAATGAAGAATTCTTCGAGGAGTATCTGAACGTTCCAAAATTACAAGTTGTGAATCCCGCGAATTACTCTGTTAGCGTAAGGACCGCCAGTCCACCACAGACTTTCGGGACAAGTACTGTAACGATGCAGCGGAACTTGAAATTGTAACCCATGAGATTTATTGTGGAAAGGGACATCATACTCTACACATCGTCTTTCTTATGTCTCATGACTTACCATGGATGATAGGTGCACTTACTATGTACTCTACTACTATGTACACGTGGAGCAACTGCATGTGTACTCTCACGATGCTATTTGTAGTAAGCCAAAGTATTTTCATGGGAAAATCTCTACGCGAATAGATGTTCGACCTTTGCATGGGAAAATGCCACTTACATCAAATTCGTATAGTTTTTCCAGAGGAAGCATATTTTTAGCAGTACTTACCATTCGTTTGTCAGATGATTAATGATTAAAAGTGGTTTTTCT